ATTAAAAAATAACAGTCTTTCAGGTGGCACAACATTTTTTCTTTATTTATTTGTTATTTTTCAGTTGTATTTGCCTGATACTCATATGATATTAGAGTGTGAAAGGAAAGTTAAACAAAAGAGGGAAACATGAAAGAATATGACATTTTCAGGTGCCCCTTTTTCATTTAAATGAATCATTTGTGTTTCAGAGGCTTTTGCAGAAAGAAAGAAAAAAGAACATTGGAAAATGAAAATAAAACAAAATATCATGTTTGTGTGTTTTATAAATTTCTCAGTATAATCCAGTGGTCCCCAACCCTTTCTGAACCATGGATCAGTTGGTGGGCTCCATGTGTGGGGGGAGGGCACCCCCTGTGCTTCCAGGTGGGTGGGGTGTGCTCACAGATGGGTGGGACGCACTTGTGCACATGCACTGAGCTGGGGCATGCTCAGGGAGAGGCGGGGCATGCACGGAGAGGTGGGGTGAGCTCACAGGTGGGTGGGACACCCGTGTGTGCAGGTAGTGGGCTGTGAGTTCGGGTGGGGTGCGTGGGGGGAGTGCATGTGGGGGGAAGACCAGGGTTGAAGACCCCTTGTTTAATCCCTAGAATTCATATAGTTTTTTCAGATTTCTTTATCTTTTTCAACTACTACTTTAATTCCTTTGTCATCCACGAGTTCAACTATATCCATACCTTGACTGCAGTATAGAGACATGGATGGAGGGCTCTTGGAGCTGAGTAGTCTTTTCCATCTTAACTTCTTGGATTATTTACACAGTTGTAGGGAAGACCTCAGAATAGGGAGGATTAGGAAAGCTATCCCAGCAGCATTGATTTTCAGTAATTAAATATGTCCCCTTGGTCTCTGTAGGTTCCCAATTATGAAATTGGTTACTAAGGTCCATTGGGGGTTTTGTGACAGGAGGTTCAAATGTTTAATTTTTAAAAGGAATTAAACAGGTTTTTAGCCAATGATTGATGAGAGTAAGTAAGCTTCACAACACTTACTTATACAGACAAAATGAAAGCACTGTTACTGAGACACAGTTTTCTCATACTGGAGTTTTTTGTTTATTCTGTGTTGCATTTCCTACAAGCAACAATCTCGAGCAACAATCAGTACTGTAGTTCAAAAACTCAGTTAAAGAGCTCGTTTTGCAACAGAAAGTACGATTATTGCCTTTAAAGGAAAGCCTCCAAATAGTTTCAATATTCAAGATATGCCACTTGCATCCGTTTCCAAGATCAACAATTAACTCCACCTGAATACTTGAAGGACCATGAGAATGATTTGAATGGCTTTGTCTGGTTTCCAGTGGGAGTGGGTTTGCAGCGTAGTGCAAAGCAGATGACCAAAGACACTGTAATTTGATGCCTTATATGGGAGAAACAGTAGCTCAGTAGATTGGAGTGCCTGACAATGGAGTCAGGGGTCAAGAGTTCAAGTCCCCACTGCTCCTCACAGGAGAAGGTCCAGCCACGTTCACCTGAATCATGTGTGGCTGATGGGACTGAACAGCCTGTCCACTGTGCAACCTTGACCAAGCTGTACTGTCCCAGGGTGTCACCAACAGAAAAGGTACTGGTAAACCATTTCAGAATAGCTTATGCCTAGAAACCCTGGGAGGATCTCCGTAAGTTAGAATGGACTTGATGGCATGTTGCTCTTGTCACGAACTCCTAAAAGCATTTAAAGATGGAGAAATAAAATAGAGAGACACTTGAAACTGAAATCTGCAAAGTAAACCACTTTCTTATGCAGGAATTCAGTGAAAGTACCACTCTAGCATTTTAGAACAGCTGCCAGTCAAGGGAAGGAGCCAGGCTCTCTGACATCCTTCTCTCCCACTTCAAATAAATCCCCCGCTTTGTTCCACACATTCAGATTTAAAAGACTAACTTGTTTCTTTAAAAAAGAGGCATCTTCATCTATTATCATTTCTGTGATTTGCATAGAGCGACTGTTATTTAAATCGTTTCTGCCTATCTGTCTTTGTGTGACCTTTTGGATGACCCATTTATCAGTAACTGTTTTGTGCCCGTGATAGGCGTGTGATTAAGTTCTCACTTGCAGGTGGGAATTGATTGAGCATTACATACAATATAATGGAAAATTGTTTCATTTGAAATGGGGTGCTGGAGGAGAGCTTAGTGGACACCCTGGATCGCCAGAAAGACGAACAAGTGGGTTGTAGATCAAATCAAGCCCGACCTGAAGGCAAAAACATTGACACTGAGCCACATCATGAGAAGGCAGGATTCTCAGAAAAAGACAATAATGCTGAGAAAGGTGGAAGGAGGTCACCTCTGAGATATATATTATTATGTATCTATTA